TTACAAATTTTGTTACGATTTTTTTTCATAATGATTCCATTAGTAAAGAAACCCATGATTTCCCTAGTATTACACATTATTTGATTTAAAATATTATAGTGGCTACCATAAAAATTTATACGCCATAAAATATATCATAATTACTCTTGTGTATATTTTAATATATTTAGTTGAAGCCTCATTTATTTCTCTTAGAGAACTATATACACTTTACAAAAGTAGCAACTGTGCTTAAATAGAAATAATTAAGTTCTATTTACCTCTTTGTGGAGCTAAGGGCTGAGAAGTAAGGAGAATTACTAATTTTCATACAGAAGCTGTACTAATAATACGTAACAAATGCTAAGGGTTTCCGTGATATCCTGGGGCTGAGCTACATGGATAGTCTGCCAAATTCTTAGATTTACAGAACATAAATCAGAATGGTTCTACTGCCACCACAGAGACCAGCCCCTCTCCTTCAAACAACATTGAATCTTCCATTTGTCTGGGTAAAAAGTGATATATTCAATACTCTTGTCAACCATATAAAGGCAGGATTGATGCCATTTGGACAAGTTCAAATTCAGCAATTCAGCATCAAGTATATAATAAAGTGCAGCATTAATAACCTGGAAAATGGAAATTAAATTACTGGACCAAATGTTGAAAGATAAGGCTTCATGGTCTGGACCTTGCTTTCTGTTTGCACAGAGGAATTGAGCATCCTCATTTACTGCAACAAAATTTACAAAATAAGTATTTTCCAATATGATATGCTCAGTAAAATTGCTTAATATACTTTCTGTCTTGAGCAACCCCTCCTTTTTATTTATCTTGGCAAAAATCAAAATGAATAGTAGTTTCATCAACTGCTGCTGACTGAACACTTGTTATACAATTTATATAATTTTATATATAATTCATGTGTATTACTCAATGTTAATTTAAGAAAGACAGAAATCTCAGAAGTTTGTTGACAGTACACTGGGAAATAAAATGACATGAACTGTATGTGTTGGTAGAATGCTTCATTTAGCTTTTTAAATTTGGATCTTAACTGAGAGTACACCATCACTAATTCTAGATTTCTTTTTTCTTTCAGAAATCCAGATGTATCTTATTTTGTATCCTGATAGAGCACGGAAAGACAAGTGTCCTAGCTGGTTTCCATCTAATACAGAGTTTTCAAGAATTCATATTTCTTCTTATGGCAGAAGAGGAAAAATAGAAGGTACCTCGATTTTTTAAGACAACTCTTTAGTCATTTTTATCTAAAGTAGCTTTTGTACAGGAATCACATTCTAATAATATAATTATATGTATATACTTTGGCAGAGATGTTTTTAAAAGAGATTTGACTTTGTGTTAATAGATTTTATGAGAAACAGATGAATGGTTTCCTAGAAGAGCATGACTCCTCACTCAGGGATTCACATTATGTCTGTGATATTTAATGATATCATTATCTTCAATATCCTTATTAAACTTAGTAAGCTGAAGTACCAAATAAACAATTGAACACATTATTTAATAATTACATTGCTTCAAAGCACCACACTATATTCAGAACCACGGATCTGACTCTTCTACTTAGATAAGTATCTTGAAGATAATCCCAAAAGGATAAAAGATTCAGGTTTGTTTATTTTTTGTTTTTTACTTCTTTACCTTGATCAATATTTACCTTGAAAATGTTGGATACTCTGGGGCCATCGAGTTCATTTTCTTTTTTCATATTTCACTAAATCCTCTTCTAAGAATGCCACCTTCTTTTTCTTTCTCCCATGTAAATAATACTTCCTTGTCAAGTTATTTTCCAGCAGATCTATGTTCAGAATTTTATACTATGCAGGTCTCAAATAATATCCTGATTTTCAACTCTTTGATTATAAGGCCTAAGAGCAATCATGGACTAGCAACATTTTCTTCCTCAAAAAAACATTGATTAGTGTTTCAAGGTAAATAACCTATTTTAACCTTTGGAAAAGAAGGTATTTGATTCAGAATATGAGAGATGATTAAAACTGTATCAGGGCCTGTGTGCATGAGTCATACCAAATTCTAATATTTTGCTGCTGCGAATGTATTTGGACACATTTAGAAGAATTTAGGAGATCGAGGTGGTAGCCATGAGTATAAGATTCCTGAATAGAAAACAATGTTGGAGAATCTTCTTTCTAAAGCATCCTAGCTGTTTCCTCAAAGCAAATTGCATATCTTGAGTGGAAAAAGGATATATATAGTAAAGTTATCATTGGGTTACCTTAACTTGGTTGATTGCATATGGCATATTTTTGGTGCATGTGAGTAAGAATACTACTGCCACTTGGTTGACTTTGAACAGAATAGAAAGTGGAAGATGTAGAACTGCATTTTGCTGCCAGGATATACCAGGTATTTATCTGAACATGGTATTTCTGCTGAACCAAAATCATCCAGTGTGTGATGATCTCTAACACATCAGTGCGGCCACTGTAATGGAGGGCACCCAGCCAAGTATGTTATGCAAATAGAAACATTGCTTATCATAAATATCTGCAACTTGTTTTAGTGTCCTTCAAATAATGCATTTAGAGCACTCCACCAATGAACCCTAAATTCTGCAATGAGGACTTTTTGTCAAAGTGTTTCTAAACTTACTGTCAAGGTCAAGTTTGGCTTAACCAATATTTCTTCAGTATTTTTTTTCCCATAAAATGTATTCATTAGGGCAACTCTTCTAATCTCCTATGGGACCAAATTGTATACTTTACTTCCTTACCTAGCTTTTAAAGTTCAAATTCACCTGTCATTCTATTTAGTAGAATTTATCTAACTGTTCAGCCACATCTTACAGTCAAGGGGAATTGTGTGCTGGGACTTACTCCATAAGAATTATAAACTCAAAAGAAAGAGCTTTCAGAGTCAGCAAAGACAGAGCTCGGTTAGCACAAAGTAGAGAAGGCAGGATTCTTTTCCTTCTTGATTTATACACTCTTCTTTGTGCTATCACACTCTTGATATTAATTGTTACATTGTTTGTTTTGTGATCTGCAGCTTGGGAATATATTAAGCACATCCCATACCAAACAGCTTGGTCAATGACAGCCAACATGTGTTTTCCCTTTTCTTGGGTCTTCTCCACAGTAAAAGCATATGTAAATTGTATACCTAACAAACAGAGGTAGGAAATAAGGGAGGAAAACGCCACTGGAGAATCAGTGACTGAAAACAGAGATAAGACCCTTATGGTCCCATTCGTTTGTTATCCCTTCCTCCTAGTTTTCTGACCTACTTTGCTATTATGGACTGTTTTTCACACCTGCAGATCACAGACACCTGGTATGAGGTCCAGCTTGCAGTTAAGTGTGAGTATCCAAGCAGTTCATCCTTTAGAAGCAGATGTTTTCTTTAGCCTGGAAGCCACTTGTCTTACCGATGAGGGGGTAAGTTTCAAGAGCCAGTAATAAAAGGTGTATACATTTCCATTGTGTTTCATGTAATAAACAATGAAGTCATACACATTCTATGTTAAAATATCAGGAGAGCACCAAGGTACTAATAACCAGTAAAAAAGGACTTTTTTTTTACTTGTAAGCCAGTGTAAGTTCTCATACCTAAAATTTCTCCCGTTTCTTTAAGTGCATTTAGTGAATTACCACTGTATTAGCATTGCTCTCTCTTGGTATGCATTCATGCATCACAGCAAACCAGACTCACACCTCTTTACATCTCTGCAATCTGCATTTTGAAGAAGAAAGTGAGCTGTTCCAAAAGGTGGAACAAACTATGATTCAAGGAATTTTCTGTAATAATAAGTAACCTAATATTTTCAAACTTCAGGGTCCCAATTCACAGCCTTCTGCCCAACAGCAAAATTAGAACTGTGCCTCAATAATAAGCTGGTATTACTTTACTCACATTTCAAATAGACCATGAGAAAGTCAAAGGCAAGAACTAGGTCTTGTCAGTTGTGTACACATAGCACTAATATTACTGCTAAATGCATAGAAGTTCTTTAATAATTATTATTGAATTGAACTGAATTTGCTGACATCCAGCACCAAAAATTCTCTTTCAACTTGGATAATTTAGAATACTTTAACATTCTGTGGTCATACTTCATCTAGCCATAGAATTTTTTTAGTAGACAATGAATAAATTATACTGAAACTTTCTTCCAAGTGGAATTGAATTTACTTCATAAAATCATTTTTTAATCCATAAAAGGTGACCCTAATGAGGAGGAAAAAATACCATAACATCTTGAATGCAGATACAAAACCCAATCAGCTAATGAAATGGGGCCCCATAGAGACTGGTACTGTAACTGAAGAGTAGGAAATCTAATTCCCTTCATGTTTTCTCACATTTGAGCCATACTACAAATAACTGTGTCCAGGTACAGAAAAACCAACAATATTTTATTTATAATCTTATTTTTAGGTTTTGAACTACAAATTCTGGTTCTAGAGTTGTTTAAAAGGTCATGGGTTTCATAGAACCTCGTATGTAAATTAATCTGTTGTTTGTTTACTATTTTTTTCTTTTCCATTGATCCTCCTCATAAATACAGAACAGGTCATTTACATGAAAAATATAAGATCTTGAATTTTTTTTCCTTGTTCTCTTTTAAAAATCTATTTCTAATATTGCATTCCCCATTGGACTACTTCATAAGGTCATGAGGGGGAAAAAAGAGAAGAAAAAAGGAAAGAAAGAAAGACAAGATAGACTGGATGTCACCACTAGAATTCACCATAAAAATCTCAAAGTGTAACAGAATTCTTACAAAATTTCCTAGACCAGTTCTTTAAGGAATTGAGACCTATGAAAAATATGGCAACCAGGAAAGGTAGGGAATGAGATGTGGGAAAATAGTAAGTAAGTGCAGCAAAAACAGGTTCTGAGGAATACACATAATTTTGTCTGCTTTAGATCACAATAGAATTTTTAATAAATAAATTTCTTTTCTTTTTTGTTTTTTTTTGTAAAGACACTTTTTTGAAACAGTAGATTTAGCCCAGTCATTTGTGTCATTTTTAATAAACTGTCTTTTTTTTATTGTTTGTTTTCTGTAACTTTGTAAATGTTTTAGATTTGAGTCTCTTGTACATTGTCTTTAGAGTTCATACGGATCAATAACGGTTCATGCACTGAACTGTGTATTGAATTTATTGTGTTAACTGTTGTTGTGTGGTTGAAGGGAGATTTGTAAGAGTTATAGTGATTTAGATGCTCATGCTCGATAGCAGGCATGGGCAGGTGGCTTTCCATAGGTGTATCTCCTGTGATCTCATCATCCACATTAATGATTTCAACAGTCCTTGTTGGGGCGTGATGGTTTTGCCGATGGTGCTGCTTCCTCATCTTGTAGAAAATGACCAGCATCACTGCAGCCATGAGCGTGATGGCCACGAAACAGCCAATGATGATTTTTGTAGTCTTCATGACCTCATCAATTCCTGGAATCCCACTGTTTATATCAGTCACTGGGATGGTGAACGTTTTTTCTGTCGACCTTGTGCTCTGTGGTGTAAGCGAGGTGGTCACATTGGTGGTCTCCCAATCAATCACTGGAGTGGGGCCCACGTTGTTATCTGTGGTCCGTGCCTCATCCTGAGAAGGTTCCATAGTCTCTACTGTGACGGTTGAAAAGTAAGAGAAGGGAGTAGTAGTTGCTGCAGTAACATTCAAGGTGGCTGAAGCAGTGGTATTTCCAACAGAATTACTCACCAGGCACGTGTACATGCCTGTATCTTGCACGGTTACATTCGTGAAATTTAATGTGCCGTCGCTGAGCACAGCTATCCGCACTTTGTATGCGCCATGTGTCATGACTGTTCCGTTCGGAGTAATCCAAGATACAGAGGTCAGGGACGTGGAGGCCCGACATTTCAGCTCAGCTGCCATGCCTTCAGTGACATTGAGGTCTGCTGGGGGCTCCACAATCACGGGAGCATAGCATGTGAAATAATTCTGGTCAAGCTCCCCAATGTACCTCCCTTTCAGATTGGGAGGAGTGTTACACCGGGCACAACAAGCTGTGTTGGAGGGGGCCATATCCTTTATCCACCAGCTGAGCCACAGTATGTCACAGTTACAGTTCCAAGGGTTGTGATGTAAGTGTATCCGCTCTAGATGATGCAAGGGTGTGAAGAGGTCATGAGGCAGTAATGTTAGATTGTTGTGTGCCAGGTTTATCTCCACTAGTGATTGAAGGTTATCAAAGGCATTCCGTTCAATCACTTGAATCTGGGACTGTATCATCCACAGTTTTTGAAGATGCATCAGTCCCTGGAAAGAGCCAGGCCTGATAGCAGACAAATGATTCCCAGAAAGATCCAGCTCATCTAGTTTTATGAGAGGTGTGAGGTTAGGGATTTCCCGGAGGTTGCACATGGCAAGGTTCAAATACCTCAAGTTGGAGAGACCTTCAAAGGCACCTTCTGAGATGTATGAAAGCCTTTTTAATTCCCCCAAGTCTAGTCGTCGCAAAGAAGGGATTCTGTTAAAAGCATAAGAGGGGATACTTTCGATGGGGTTGTTTCGCAACCAGAGCTCCTTCAGTTTAGACAAATATACAAAAGCTCCATTTGGGATGGTAGTAAGACGATTGTCAAAGAGTTCCAGTGTGTTGAGGTTCGCCAGACCATTGAAGGCCCCGATTTCAATGGTTCTAATATGATTCCTACTCAACTGTAGAATTTCCAGGTGCCTCAAGTGCTTGAAGCTGTTCACTTTGATGATCTGGATTTGGTTCTCATGGAGGTTCAGCAGCCGAGTGTTGGTGGAGATGCCATCTGGAACCTCACGTAGATTTTTCCGAACGCAAATCACCTTGCTGAACTGGTTGCTGCAGGAGCAGACGGAAGGGCAGGTTTGAGCCCGCACCAGACCAGCCACCACAAGAAGTTGAAGAGCCAGCAGCACCACAAGCAGGGGGTCAAATAGGGCCCTGTTAACCCTAGGACCTATCATTATCTGCTGTGGGTGTAAGGTCATCTTGTTCAACATGCATAATTTATCTGGTGTTGGTCCTTTTGGAGTTCAAATTGTCTGCAATACAATAAGAGCAAAAAAGAGCATTAGATCTTCTGAGCAATGTCAGTAACACAGTGTGTCAGCTAAGACATCATTTCTCAGACTAAGAAAACTACAAATCTAATGTTCCTTGTTGAGTGATGTGGCTCATATGTACAGAGAAATATTTATTCATTTTAAATTAGAAGCCATCCATAGCCCATATTCCATTAGATGTGCAATTGCAGAGAAATGGGAAAAAGAGGTGGAGGGCCTTAAAATACCATTTGCCAGCCAAGTGTGACATGATTGCATGAAGACTTATGAGATGTACACTGTTACTAGGTTCATTGCCCAGACCAGATTGGGAAAGTTCAGAAGGTAAGATTTGGGGGCTATACCCAACAAACTAAAAAGCTCACTTGCAAAATTAGTAATAGTTGACATTTTACTGAGGGTTATTCTATGTGTCAGGAGCCATGGGTGATAGACTTCATGACAATTCCATCCAGGAATGGTTACATAATTTGTAAAACTGTAAAATGAAAATGTGGGATTCCTTGTTAAAAATTATTAAGAATTTCAAATCAGTAAGTATTATGCCAAGTGTGGGCCCTTCTGAGAATGGGGACCTTTGCAGTTGCTCAGATTGCATGCCATGATCCTTTCTAATTCTTAACACTCCCCTGAAAGAGAAGTCTCCATTTTCAAAATGAAGAGATTTAACCATAGGGGAAATAACATGCATCTAGTAACATGATTATCAAGTATAGGACCAGGGCTCAGAAACACATCTAATAGGTCCAGGATCATATGATCTCAAACACTGCACAAATGAGTTTCTGTGAGAATGATGGTAAAGCAAAATATTTATCATAATTAATTTCTTCAAAATGCTCTTTCTGCTGGGAGTGATATATAAACATCTATTCTCATATAACAAACTTTATTTTAATACAGTTAACTGTTACCTATAGGCAGACATGCCACTAATTAAATCATTTCCTATGAACTAAAAATTTTACCTATAGAAAAGAATTTAGTATTAACAGAATTATCATAGGGCTTGCACCTCTTACTGATTTTAAGCAGATTTATGAGAAGGGAAATAACTCATTTTCTGCATCTCTTCTAGCACAAGGAGGTGTTCCAAAGGAGCTGTCTTAATCAGTATATGCCCACTCAACTGGATTATCATGGATTGGACACCTTTGTAATCACCTCTCAAAATTCTCATCTCAAGTAACAGTGTCTCCTCTACGAATCTCTTGGAAAGAAAAAAAAGAGATGTAGGTAGGAAGGTGGCTCATCACATTCCAATTCAAAAAGGCACCAGCTTAGGACTTCCTATTACCTGGTCAAGCTACTTACTCTTTACATAGCTCAAACTTCTCACTTAGAAAATGGAAATGAAAATATTACACACTCCTTAGAGTTGTTGTGAGGATGAAATTAATTAATGCAGATGAAGGGCTTAGAATAATGCCTCCCACATTATGAGAACTCCATAATGTTAGACACTGTAGTTATTATTATTATTATTATTATTATTATACTGCTTTTATTGTCACCCTTAGACATCTTGCCAAGTACTGGGCATATAAAGATGGAGAATATAAATCCTTACACCTGAGGGAATTAATTCAAAAGGTAAGACATATGAGCAAACAGATGAAGTGTAATAACATAGGTACATTGCTGAGACCAGACCACACTGGCACAAGGGCACTGATGTCAGAGAAACTCTATCTGTGCCAGTAAATCAGAGTTTTCAAAGAGAAGGGTCAGCACATCTAGATTTTATAGAAGAAAATGGTAAGGAAAGGACAGAAGAGCATTTCAGGCAGAGGAACCAGCTTCAGCCAAGTCAAGGACAAATGAAAGGTGCTAGTACACCCAGGGAACAATAAAAAGTACCCTGTGGCAGGAAATGGAAAAGCCTGGGGAGGAGACTTGCTCTTTCCTTAGAGCTATTCTAGCTGTAGGTTGACTTCTCACCTTCCAGTACTATGATAATTTATCCCTGGGTCTGCTTTCTCCACCAGCCTGTGAACTCTGTGAGGCTGTTTCTGATGGTCATTTCTTAGCTTGCTGCCAATATAGTACTTAGCATAGTGCCTAGGTACTAAATAAAATGGCTGTTGAAATGTGCAAAACAGTTAATATCTAATTATAACTCATGTGTAATGATGTGTAGTAATTTATTTATCATGCCTTTTTATTTCCTGTGTTATCTGATGTTTTGATATCTGCAGCCTTGCTGATTCAGAAAGACTGCCTCTCCAAAGGCTAACCAATTCCTAGACGTAGTAAAGGACTTACCCACAAGCACTCTTTTCATATTCAAACCAAACACTCTGAAGTCTATCTCCCAACCACCTCCTTTATAAGGTTTTCAAAGGGCTCTTAAACTGGGGCCACTACTCCACAGCCCTAATCATCCCAGGGCTAGACACCAGCAATTAGGGATAGGTCCTATGTCCCAGAAATGACTGAAGTTATTCATACTAGCCTAAGCCTGCTTACCCTGCCTCCCCTGGCTTTCCCTCAAAAACCATGATAAAGTCTTTTGCTCACATCTGCCCCTTGCTTCTACAGCCTGACTGACCCTGATGCTTCCTCCCTTAGCAGCCCCTGTATGGGTCACATGGCGTGCCCCTTCCTCTTGGGAACTGAGTAAAAAAATGTATCTATTCAATGGCAATTGTCTCCTGATTTGCTGGCCTCACCATACATAAATAATACTAAAATCTACATTTTTAAACAACCAATCACTAAATAGCAGGGTCTTGCTCTTCATATTAATCTTGATGGCTTTATAGGACTATTCCGATGTCCATTTATACAGTCACAACAATGTGACTGGTAGCTTCTCATTTTGAGTTGGATTAGGAGCTATCTTTCTTTGTAAATTTAAACATGACCTAAAAACTCTTGCAGATTTTCATTTTAAATAGAATACTATTTAAATTTCCAGTGATTACAAACATTGCAAAATTTTTCATTCAAATGATTTAGTGTACTTTTATGTATGTTCTCCTCTTCCCCGCTCCCCAACGTAACACTTCTTAAGGTAATTGGGCATTAAAAAAAAAAAAAGAATGACATAAAATCTCTGATACGTTAACTGATTGATGGTTTTGGGGTTGGATCCTAGGGCTCTACTCCTCCGTTTCTCCTCCCACTTCCCACCCCACAGAATCCTAGAGTCTCTGGCAACACAGGCTGAAATGACTGGTTGGTTGGAAATAGCATAGAAGTGAAGAAGATAGGTCCTTACTCTACCATTTGCTACCTTTTTCTCTTTAAAGTATGAAATAGGAAAGGCAGACATGTCAAGTGGTCAAGAGATAAGGCTCTGGTAAAGACTTTCCAAAGTTATACTCCTTCTTGACCTTATGACCCAGTAACTGGGAAAGTTCACCTCTCTACACTTTACTTTCCCCCTGAACAGTGTTACCTACTCAAAAGGCTTTTCTTAGCATGGCCACATAATAAACATATGGAAAAATATAAAGTTACTGGTTCAAAATATGCAATATGTAATAAATATTTAATATACATTAAAAATAAAGTGATGGGACACTCAGTTTCCTCATATATAAGATAGAAATAACACTAGTAACTATTGTTTGAAATCATAGTAAGGATTCACCAGAATGGTCAGAAAAATACTTTGAGTAAAACATATGCAAGTATTATACATAGCTATTGTAGCTATTAATTGTAAAATATATGTGTCCTCCTTTTTCAATCCCCAGGCTGTTTTTATTTTCTACTTCTTGCTTACTTCAAGGTCTTGTTGCTATTTCAATTAATGAGATTCCCTATAAATCAGTCATAAGTAACAATTTATGAATTATAGCTGGTTCAAAGCTAATTTATAACCTACAGCAAATAATGCTTGGTACATGCACTGAATTGAATAAACCACTATCAACAAAAGGTTTTCTATTTTGAAATTTAAATTATGTAACTTTACATCAAAAGCCATGTTTCAACATCTCTTTCATAAGATGTTTTTATCACATCAAAAGAAAATCAATTTAAAAGTATGTGCTATCCATTACAATGTCATCTGACAGCATTTATTTGCAAACGGATCTGTGTGGGTTTTGAATTGAACTATGAGACTTCAGCCTTATCTCACAGTATATCCTGACTTTGTCAATAGACCTTTCTCCTTTCCCTCCCTGTGCGTCCATGCACTGAGAGGCACTCACTGGAACTACGTACAGGAGAAGAGCTAATAAAGATGCCTTATTTAGCACGGTTCACTGCTAAGTCAGCATAAAACATGTTTAGACATTGAAACCCATTTGATGTGAGATAGGAGAAAGACGCATTAGTTCTCCACAACCACTGTTGCCTCAAAACAGGCCACGTGCTTACGTTCCTAGGTTATCTACAATAAAACTCCCTAAATACTGAAAACCAAAGCCGTTTACCCTATGCTCAGCCTGGACACTGAGACTTCCAAGCTCTACCTTCCCGCAAGTACGTGATGGCACTTTCAATATCTTTATTAACATCTCTATCCTCTTCTGGGACTCTCCCACCAAAGCACCTGGTTTTATTGTCTTTGTAGGCATTTGCCCAAAAATTCATCACCTCTTTTATGGAAAACATTAATGGAGGTCTGTGCATGAAGATTCCTTGAATCTCTGGCTTCACCTTACTGTTTTCATCATACCTGGATTGCTGTATCATAGTTCTTGCCCAACCATACTCAAATTCCAACTTTGAAATATCTTCCTAAAATCTAACTTCCAATTCTGGCCTAATCTTCACCACTCCACTCACGGACACTCTCAGCTGGACCTTTGTGAGATCGCGCTTTCTCTTACCATACTAAGCATGAACCCAGCTTTGTTTTGGCAATGGGTTGTGTTGGTGATATTTTTGGAAGTCAGCTTTTTTACAACACTGAAGACAGGTTATTCATTTAACATGTGCTTGACCCCAATCTCTCTGTCTCTCTCTCTGCATTTGTTGCTCACCCAACATCCTACTCCCTTACTTTTCCCCTTGAAAAT